ACTATATACTGGTGTTGGATGATTTTGGCAATCATTGGAACTACTATGTTGCCATGGAAACTACACCAAAAATTTCAAAATCATTAAAATGCTCCAAACTTAAAGAAACTTCACAGTAACGATGAGCAACATTGGAAGATGTGGCATTTGGAGTTAGAATTTCCAAAATGGCTGCTGTTACCATGGAAACAATGCAAAAAGGTCAAAATGCTCCAAAAACCATAGTGTTTGGTGAATAATTTTGGTATGCTTAAACTTGAAATCATCAAATTTTTATACAATATAGTTGTCCATTATATACAGGTTTTGAATGATTTTGACAATCATTGGAACTACTATGTTACCATGGATACATGCTTCAAACTTAATGAAACTTCACAATAATGTTTACTGTCATGTGTGGAAGCGGCAATTGGGATTGGAATTTCCAAAATGGCTGCCGTTACCATGGAAACAAGGCAAAAAAGGAAAAATTATGCGTTAAATTTGTAAATCCGCTAAATGTTCTAAAAAATTACAGAAAGATGTATAGCCATCAGTATATATGTGCATTCACTGTTTAAAATTTTAAAACTGTCTGCACTCTAGTGGCAATGGGGGAAGGGTGACATCCGCTATTGCTTGCAATGGCAAATCTAGCTATTATTATTATTCTTCCACCTAATTTTGTCCTGCATTTTTCTCAGAACCTAATGCACCAATCTTTATGGTTGTTCACTATAACAAGGAACCCTGACTTACAAGTTGCAGTGCAACTTTGGCACTAAAAAATGGATGCCATCACCATGGAAACCAAAGAAAGGTGAAAAAATAAAATTCTAGAGTTTGGTGGATTATTTGGATATGCATAAACTTAGAATCATGATATTTTAATACAATGTAGGTGCCCACTATATACTGGTTTTGGATGATTTTGGCAATCACTGGAACTACTATGTTGCCATAGAAACTACACCAAAAATTTCAAAAATATCAAAATGCTCAAAATTTTATGAAACTTCACAGTAATGATGAGCAACATTGGTAGATGTTGAATTTGGCGTTGGAATTTCAAAAATGTCTGCTGTTACCAGGGAAACAATGAAAAACAGGTCAAAATGATCCAAAAACCTAAAAGTGGCATTTACTTTCTTAAAATGGTATGTCAAATCTATTGAAATTTTAATGGTATGTTCCCTCCCATGTACCATTGTAGCACCTGTCATTAAATTTTGGGAATGGTCTCTGTTACCATGGAAACCAGCAAAAATGTCAAAAATTTCCAAAAATTTCAAAATGCTCCAAACTTAATGAAACTTAATATGATTCTTAACTGGCAAGTCTAGATGAGACTTATGACTTTGGAATTTCCGAAATGGCCACCGTTGCCATGGAAACTGCAAAAATGTCAAAAAAAATTTAATGATTATAAATGCTCTAAATGTTCTGAAAATTTACAGAAACATGTATAGCCATGCATATATAAGCATCCCGGTTTAAATTTTCGAAATGGCTGCCGCTTAGAGGCAATAGGGGGAAGGGTGACATCCGCTATTGCTTGCAATGGCAAATCTAGTTATTATTATTATTCTTCCACCTAATTTTGTCCTGCAGTTTTCTCAGAGCCTAATGCACCAATCTTAATGGTTGTTCACTATAACAAGAAACCCTGACTTACGATTTGCAGTGCAACTTTGGCACTAAAAAATGGATGCCATCACCATGGAAACCAAAGAAAGGTGAAAAAATTTTAGAGTTTGGTGGATTATTTGGATATGCACGAACTTAGAATCATGATATTTTGATACAATGTAGGTGCCCACTATATACTGGTTTAAGATGATTTTGGCAATCACTGGAACTACTATGTTGCCATGGAAACCACACCAAAAATTTCAAAAATATCAAAATGCTCAAAATTTAATGAAACTTCACAGTAATGATGAGCAACATTGGTAGATGTGGAATTTGGCTTTGGAATTTCAAAAATGCCTGCCGTTACCATGGAAACAATGCAAAACAAGTCAAAATGATCCAAAAACCTAAAAGTGGCATTTACTTTCTTAACATGGTATGTCAAATCCATTGAAACCAGCAAAAATGTCAAAAATTTCCAAAAAATTTCAAAATGCTCCAAACTTAATGAAATTTGATACGATTCTTAACTGGCAAGTCTAGATGAGACTTTTGACTTTGGAATTTCCAAAATGGCCGGCGTTGCCATGGAAACAGCAAAAATGTGTAAAAATTTCAAAATACTCCAAATGTTCTAAAAATTTACAGAAAGATGTAAAGCCATGCATATATGTACATTCACTGTTTAAAATTTTCGAAATGGCTGCCGCTTAGAGGCAATAGGGGGAAGGGTGACATCCGCTATTGCTTGCAATGGCAAATCTAGTTATTATTATTATCCCACCTAATTTTGTCCTGCAGTTTTTTTGGAGCCAATGGAACCAATCTTAATGATAGTTAACTATAATGAGGAACACAAAATTTCGTGGTTGCAGTAGGTCTTAAGAACATTAAAAATGGCTGCCGTTACCATGGAAAAGGAACAAATGTGAAAAAATCCAGTTTTTGGTTTTGGTGAATTATTTGGAGATGCTTAAACTTAGAATCATTATATTTACCATGTAGGTGCCCACTATAAACTGGTTTTGGATGATTTTGGCAATCATTGGAACTACTATGTTGCCATGGAAACTACATCAAAAATTTCAAAAATATAAAAATGCTCAAAATTTTTTGAAACTTCACAGTAACGATGAGCAACATTGGTAGATGTGGAACATGGCGTTGGAATTTCCAAAATGTCTGCCGTTACCATGGAAACAATGCAAAAAGGTCAAAATGCTCCAAAAAATTCAGGGTTTGGTGAATAATTTTGGTATGCTTTAACTTAAAATCATCAAATTTTCATACAATATAGTTGTCCATTATATACAGGTTTTGAATGATTTTGACAATCATTGGAACTACTATGTTACCATGGATACAGGAGCAAAAATTTCAAAAATTCCAGAATGCTTCAAACTTAATGAATAATGTTGACTGTTATGTGTGGAAGCAGCAATTGGCGTTGGAATTTCCAAAATGGCTGCCGTTACCATGGAAACAAGGCAAAAAAGGAAAAATTATGCGTTAAATTTGTAAATTCACTAAATGTTCTAAAAAATTACAGAAAGATGTATAGCCATCAGTATATATGTGCATTCACTGTTTAAAATTTTAAAACTGGCTGCAATCTAGTGACAATGGGGGAAGGGTGACATCCGCTATTGCTTGCAATGGCAAATCTAGTTATTATTATTATTCTTGCTCTTCCGCCACTTTTTTTAATGAACTTGTCCGCACCATTTCTCCAAAACCACTTGTCAGATTTACTTAAGGTTTCACAATATGTTAGATTAACATGTCTAGTGGTGCAATCAGGGTTTCGTTTGTGCATTGGGGTCTAAATAAGGGTACTTTGAGGGGCCAAAAGAAGGGAGGGGTTTACTATAGAACCCTATGGGATTTTTTCTTCTTTTTTTCTCAAATGATTATAACTTGAAAACCGTTAGTGATAGACACAATCTTTATAATTGAAAATGTTCTACATGATAAAGCACATCTAATGAAATAAAGGGTTCGTCCCCAGGGGTCACCCCACCCCCTGCCATTTGACAAAGTTGTAATATCTTGTAAGTGGTCAAGATCCCCACCCCTAAACCATATATATTCTGGTTTGTCATGATAAAGCACATCAAATGAAATAAAGGGTAAGTCCCCAGGGGTCACCCCCACCCCCTGCCATTTGAGAAAGTTCTAATATCTTGTAAATGGTTGAGATCCCCTCCCCTAAACCATATATATTCCTGTTAGTCATGATAAAGCACATCAAATGAAATAAAGGGTAAGTCCCCAGGGGTCACCCCACCCCCTGCCATTTGAGAAAGTTCTAATATCTTGTAAATGGTTGAGATCCCCTCCCCTAAACCATATATATTCCTGTTCGTCATGTCACAAAGATTCAAATGATATATAGGGTCAGTCCCCGGGGTCCCCCACCCCCAATGACCTAATATCTTGTAAATGGTCAAGATCCCCACCCCTAAACCATATATATTCTTATTCGTCATGCCAAGAAGATTTGAATGATATATAGGGTCAGTCCCTAGGGATCACCCCCACCCCCTGCCATTTGATAAAGTTTTTATATATTGCAAATGGTTGAGATCCCCACCCCTAAACCATATATATTCCTGTTCGTCATGTCACAAAGATTCGAAAGATATATAGGGTCAGTCCCCAGGGGTCCCCCCACCCCCAATGAACTTATATCTTGTAAATGGTCGAGATCCCCACCCATAAACCATATATATTCTGGTTTGTCATGCCAAGATGATTTGAATGATATACAGGGTCAGTCCCCAGGCATCATTAATGCATATAACTTTACTGGACTTTGCCCAATGTCAGGCGAACCTGGGAATGACGAATTATGGGAGCTTCGTTTGGGAGACTTCGTAACAGCATCCTGTTACAATCATTTCTTGTTCAACATAAATTCTAAGAAAATATGAGATTATAATTGAAAAAGTTTTGCCAAAAAATTTACTTGAAAATTTGGTGGGAAATGATTCTTAAAATAAATTTTTCATACATTTAACAATTTCAGCTTTTTCTTTCATAAACTATGAAAAATTACAAGGATTTCATAAGATTTTCAAAAATGGTTTTTTAAACTATATGTAATAAAATTATGAAAAGAAAAGTGGGGTTTAGCAGGCAAAATTTTTAATATCACTACATGGATAAAAGTAAAAGATTCTGAATATCTGACAAATAGTCAAAAACAAGAGTAGCAAACATTCTTAAAGAAAATGAATATATTGTTTGTTTAAACTTTCATTTTGTCATTTAGATCATATGTTCACATGATAGACTTTGGCATACTATTAAAAAAAAAATTTTTTTTTTATTAATATCTTTCTCTTTTGTACAGTGGTATATCTTAGATTTGTTTTATATTTCAGGTTTTGTGAACACTATTTTATCCTGGAAAGCATTTGTTCCTCTGAGTAGACTGACATACTGTGCATATCTGATACATCCAATTATTATGTATTATTTCAGCAATGTACAAAGGAAATTTCTCCATTTCTCAGATCTGACAGTTGTAAGTTTCATTAGTGCATCTTATAATCTTTGGGACAGACACATAATGAATGTGGTAGGATTAAATGTTTGTGAATGTTCAATCCTACCCCTAACTTTGGACAGTGCTTTTACACAACAATATTAGAGCAAACAAAAAAATTCAAATGAAAAGGGCTTGACTCATTAGATCGTTACTTAACTTTAAAAAAAGTAACAAAATGTCAAAGTACCAATTTAAGAGTTACTAAAAGCTAGTATATAGCCAAATTTCAAGGAAAACCTAGACCTTGTTTTATTTTGCTTTTTGCAAATTCCTCTGGTTTACTTACTGGTACGCATTAAGTCTGAAAGGAGTAAGTTCGGTAAGGGTCATATTTGGCCCTGATTATTAAGTTTAATGTTTCAAGATAATAAATGTTTTAAAGTGATAAAAAGACGTGAGAAAGTTGGAATAGAACTTTTTTGTCAAAGTTTTAGTTTTTTACATCCCAAATAGGTCAAAAATAGAGATTTTTGCAAAATTTGTCCAAATCGTCCAGATTTCAAACAAATTAAGGCCTAGGAAACATAGAGCGCAGGTGTCGACAAACTAATTATTCAAGTCAGATATGTAAAATGTGATAACAAACATTTTGTTAAAAAAGCTTTTTTGTCGACGCATGCGCTCTATGTTTCCTGTCCAAAAAATCATTGGAAATTAACCCGTTTTAATTGAATTTTCGTTGAAAATCAAAATGAGTGCTATTTGTGACGTCATGAATAGAACGCAAGTACGTAAATTTTCAACAAAAAGACATATTTTCTATCTAGTCATTGTATTAGCTATGATTCATTGTGATATTGGTAAATAAATCCTAATTTGAAATTGTTGCTAGAAATAGGGGCCGTTTTAGGATGTTATCGAACCTCCTCCTTTGTTCTTTAGTGATGACATTCGTATGCATATTAATGATAAAAACTCATTCAAAGTTGGTATGTGCACATTTATTTAAGCATTATTAAAGGAGTAAAAATGTAAACAGTGATATAAAAAAAGCCCCTTACAAAGTCATGTATGGTTGTGCTATTGATATTTTAAAGTTTTGACCTTTCAACATTTACTTCTGCACCAATTGTAAAATGTTTACTTTAACTTAAAATATTGATATGCTACTGGTAATTATATAAAAATTGTTTATTTGTAGATGTATCTGTTTTTACCAAACATGTGTCTGTCATATGCTGCAGCATTCATAGCCTCGTTAGCTTTTGAATCACCTATGATGGGACTTGAAAAAGTCATCTTTAGACGTGGAGAGAAGAAAGATTAACAGCTCAATTACATTATAGGAATACAAATTTCAGAGATTTTAGTTTGTTAAAAGATAGAATATTTTTCATCCTGTATAAGCAGTTTTAAACTTTTTTTTATGATTTTTTTGCATTTTAAAATCATTTTTTTAAGGAGCTCAGTGAAACTTTAAAAAAATTACAAGGCACGAAATAATGATAAAAATTTTTTTCATATTTTTATGTAAAACATTAAAGTAGATATCACAGTAGAAACGTATGAGTATATTCAAGAAACAACTTCATATTTGGTGAAAATATGATCCAGTATAATAACTCTGTTCAATTAAAAGGTGTTTATTGTTTCTTGAATGTGCTCAAGGTGTCTTAGGGCAAACATTTCTTGAAAATATGTGAAGAATTAGCTTATTTCATTATGATGTCACTGCTATGACATAATATTGAAAATTCTGCATTTTTTATTCATTTTCTGTTATCTTCCATATTTTTATTTATTTTATGTATTTTTGAAGATGTTAACAAATACCAGTGGATTCTTAGACCATAAAAAGGCCTTAATGCTCCAATTTCTTTGGGGGCAAACCTGCAATATTTATATGGGAAATAAGTGAATTTAAAAAAAAATCAGCTAAAGCTTGTTTTGAACTCAAAATGTTTGTCATATATAAATAAAGGAAAGGTCAACTCTGTAATAATCAGATATGAACTACCAGTTGAATGACAGGTTCAGTTGATGCAACTACATGCTAGATGTTACTCTGATTTGTCTTAGTTTTTATCTCCATCTGTTGCAATTCATTTAAAATTCAGACTCAATTGCAACTTGTTGGTCAATTCAAATTGCAGAACTGGTCAGATATTTTACAAAGCTGCTCAAATCAACTCTGTAAAGCGTGGTCACATTTTGCTCATTTCGCATGGTAACACTTCATGCTTTCATGCTGCTTCATGTGTTTTTATGCTGTTCTAGTAGGTATTTACATTACAGAAAAAGCATAAAACTGTTGGAAGACTGTGGAGATGTTTTATAGAAAAGAGACAGATATTTGTTTTTGTAATTTGAGTTATCTCCCTTGTCATAAAACCATTTTCTGATATATTTTGATGGTGCATTTTAAATTTTCTTATCAAGCAGATGAGGCAAATTGCTTTATCTAATTGAAAAAAATGCAATATGTGAACCCTAGGACACAGGCGGCTCAGAAAAATATGTTGATCTATTTATTAGTTTCTGTGAAACAAAACTATATTGTAAATATTAACACTATATTGTAAATATTAACACTATATTGTAAATATCAACAAATATCCCCAAAATTTTAATCAGTTAAGTAAAGTAACTTCCCATTAAATACAGAAATTAATGAAAGGAATTAATTTCAAAGGAAGAAAATTCACTAAAAATGACAAACGAATGAAAAGAAGTGTAAAATCAGATAAATAAGAGCTCTAAGGCATCTGTTCCCATTGTTTTATTGACTATTTAGACAACTTCAGAATTCAGTTGGAATGCCTGCATGTAGTCTTTTTTAAAGTCACTTCTTTTAAAATGTAATAAGTGTTGATTGTTTAAAAAAGATAGCTTTACCAATTAGAGGGAAATCAAAATTTTGTGCACTGTTGGGTAAAATTAATAGTGCCTTCTGACACCACCATCCCGCCCCCTAACAGTCTTGATATTATGTAAGGCCAACCAATAATATCTTATTCCAACAAGAGACTGAATTAAACTTGCTAAAAGGTAATCTTGTGGAAAACAGATTTCAAATGATAAAATTGAGAATGGAAATGGGGAATGTGTCAAAGAGGCAACAACCCGACCAAAGAGCAGAAAACAGCCCAAGGCCACCAATGGGTCTTCAACACTGTCACAGCGAGAAATCCTGCAACCAGAGGTGAGCTTCAGCTGGCCCCTAAACAAAAATGTGTACTAGTTTAGTGAAAATGAACATCACACTAAACTCTGAAACATATAAATGAACTAGAATTAAAAATAAAACATAAAAGACTAACAAATGCCAGAGGCTCCTGACTTGGGACCTGACTTCAAATGATGTCATGACAACATTGAGCACTCATTGTGAAATCTCCCCAAAAATTTAATGTTGCAGAGAGTGATACAAGTATTGAAATTTCAGAAGCACTTAGAAACACATCATATTTATATCTGCTGTCTCACTTTAAAAATATAGTAAATGTCCTTATAAAGTTTGTATAGATTTGGTTCATTGGATTGTTTTATGTGAATTTTATTTAGTAATATTTTACTTTTTTTTATATCTTGTTGATTTTTAAAGTTTTAAACATTATGATGTTGTGATATATATTGTATGAACTATGTTATTATGATGTAGATAGTTAATAATATATTGTAACTGGTATTGTCATAATCAGAAATACCACCAATCTTTTACATGATTGTTCTGCGATATATGTATTTATATATTTACCTGAATTTATGTCCCCTCAGGAATATATTAGAGTCTTTGAAAATGACCCATATAAACTTTATTGTTAGACATGTATGAGGTTGTTGTTTATTATGGATGGGCAGATAAAAGGACAGATACCTGATAGAAAGTCATGGTTTAAGTATTTTGCTAGGTTGTTCATAATTATGCTCCCACCGTAGCGGAGGGGGCATTAAGTTTTACCCTTGTCCGTCCGTATGTACGTCCGAACGTACGTCTGTATGTCCCAAAGTTGGTTTCCATTCTCTAACTTAAGTTTGCCTCAACCAAATTTTATGAAACTTATACACAATGCTTATTACCACAAAACACAGATCAAGTTTGAATTTTGGTGGCATCACTTTAACCGTTCTAGGGTTATGCTCCTTTACAAATGGTAAAATTGCTGAATTTTTCGGTTCTGTTCTCTAATAGATATAAGAAGATGAGGTATGAGTGTCAATGAGACAACTCTCCATCCAAATCAAAATTTATAAAAGTAAACCATTATAGGTCAAAGTACGGTCTTCAACACAGAGTCTTGGCTCACACCGAACAGCAAGCTATAAAGGGCCCCAAAAATTACTAGTGTAAAAACCATTCAAACAGGAAAACCAACGGTCTAATCTATATAAAAAACGTGAAACACTTATGAACCACATCAACATTGGACAACTACTGAACATCAGATTCCTGACTCAGGACAGGTGCAAACAATTGCAGCGGGTTTAAACGTTTTAATGGTACCAAAACTTAACCCTTATCTGAAACAATAGTGTAACATCACAACATAAAAAGACACACTATAAAATATCAATTGAAATGGCTTAACTCAATCAAAAGACATATTAACACCAGTGAACAGACACTTAACAAATAAATTTGATCTATGATACAATGTAAATACAAAATAAATAAACTAACTTTAGTTTGCCTTAACCAATTGTTATGAAACTTATACACAATGCTTACTACCACAACATACAGATCAAGTTTGAATTTTGGTGGTGTCACTTTTACAAATGGAAAAATCGCTGAATTTTTCGTTTCCGTTCTCTAACTTCAGTTAGCCTCAACCAAATGTTATGAAACTTGTACACATGCTTACTACCAGAAAATACAGATCAAGTTTGAATTTTGGTGGTGTCACTTTTACTGTTCTAGAGTTATGCCCCTTTACAAATGGAAAAATTGCTGAATTTTTGTTTCCGTTTTCTAACTTAAGTTTGCCTCAACCAAATGTTATCAAACTTATACATAATACTTATTACCACAAAACTCAGATCAAGTACAAATTTGGATAGCGTCACTTTTACCGTTATTCAGTTATGTCCCTTTATAACTTTATATGATATGCAAGTGGGGGCATCATCTGTGTCCCATGGACACATTCCCCATTTATTTATTTTTTAAATTTCAGAGTAAATATTTTATGTACATTCCTAAACACTTGATTTTTATACTTCATTAGTATTTCTTTTGAAAATATTTGAACAGCCCATTTTCCCATCACGCTACATTATTGGCATACAAATTATAAGTATTTTAGTCAATGCTTTTTAACCAACATTTGGAAGTGGAAACTATAAAATTTTTGGTTTATAGAATTACATATATTCTAATGAATATGTCTAACAAGTTGAACCATGATAACCTTTGTTGGTGTAAAATATCCTATTTTGATAGTGGTTAATATGTATTGGTGAATTAAATTCTTTATCTATGGTAAAAATGTGAAGAAAACATACTGTCCAATATAGTAATCTGAAAGAAGAAGTTGGGAAAGTGGCCAGTAATTTGAGCAGTTTGAAGTATACACATTAGATAGTGCCATAGAAAAGCATATTATATTTTTAACATGTTTGTATGTTTCTTCATCTTTATAATTATAATGTAACATCTGTTTGCTATTTAAATATTATTTGTGTGAAACAACCTGAAAGGGAACAACCATTTGACTCTATAGAGTGATTATGTTTTTCATCATAAATTTCTATTGCTGATTTTATTATGAAAAATAACAAATTATTTACTTGAAAATTAAACAGACACAGAAGGGAAGCCCACACCTGCAGATTTGCCCTATTTTCTCCATTTCAATGTTTTATGATTAAATTTTGGCTCAAACTGCCCCTTTAACATGACAGGATATGCAGAATCATGAAATCAGTATCAAACAGTTAACCTCCAAAATTATAGAGAGCCCTTAGAGCAAAATAATGAGATTTGGCATGTAATATAATGGCCCACCAGTCCATGGTAAGGGTAACTTAATGTGTATATTTAAATTATGCTGGAAAAGTTTTCTTCTGTAGATGTCAAATTTTAAGACTTAATGTTTGTATTACATTTCTCATTCATATTTATACCCAACATCTCCTTTTATTCTTATACATATTTACATTTTGATCAATTTAATCACAATAGTCCTTCCTTTTAAGTTCAGTGAATATAGAAACAACATGCATATATGTGTATAGTTAGAAAAGGTGTTTCTTATATGATATCCTTTTAAAAGAAACCATACCTGTCAATGGATCTGAAAGTTTCTTGATGTGACCCTGTAATTAACAGATTCATCCAAGATTTATGACCCTTCCGCTTTTGTGAAATAAGATACTAAAATCTTGCAGATTCATTCAGTGAAGTATTTTATTTGTTAAACCTTTGTTGGTGAGAGCCTTCTGAGTTTTAACCCTCCAAACAGGAGTGATTTATCAACTGTGGTTTTTTTTTATATTTGGTTCAAGTAGAAAGTTTAACTTGCTCACAAGTTTATGTTGTTTGGAAAACGCCCCACTTTAAACAAATATTAAAAGCATTTGTAAAGTGATTAACTAATCAATGTCCCTCCCAAACCAAGGTCAGTTAAGATAATTGAGAAGTTTACATACTTGACTATTGTACCTACCTATTTATTTAGAACATTTGAAACATTGGCAGCAAGTGTTAGGTCACAAATTCATTAATTTCCCAATGTTCATTATATTTAAATCAGATTCCTTCCATCCATCAGTGTTTTTGTCCCAAAATATTGCTATACTCAGTGGTGCATTTTCAGATTCACAGCTCATTAACTTCCTGTTTACTAAATACTTATAGATTTATACACATAATGACCAAGCAGGATTTTTTTTTCTTCTCAGGAACAACAAATTGGGCTTTCTGAAATTAGGAAACAAGCTCCATGTGAGCATGCTTTATTGTGTGATGTGTTTTCACACCCATCACTCATCAACTTCCTGATTACCAAATACTTACAGCAACAGCTCACAGTTTAACTTTTATTAATTTTAGTATATACAGCAAACTTTTTTTGTAATTCTTTAGATCTGGTTTGTTCTTTGTACAGCTGATTATTTGTAAAATGAAGTTAAGCATGAGACTTTTATTTAAGATGTTTTATTGACATCAAGTCATTGAAGATCTGGCACATGTTCTTCTTTGTGTATTTTTAGTTCAAGATATGAAAAGTATGCTTCATATAGTTATCTGTATGTAGAGCTCAAAAGAGGAGAATAAGTTACGTTTAGTATGGCTATAAGTTACTTTTAGTATGGCTATAAGTTACTTTTAGTATGGCTATAAGTTTGATGACTAGAGTATCTCTGTGCTCATTGGAAACTTGGATCTTCATTTTATATAAAAAAAATTTAAGAAAAATTCTGTTTTGTTTGTGTTTTAATTATGATCTTTCCTTTTGATGACCTATCTGTAGATATTTATACCAGTATAAATGGAATAAAAATATACAAAAGTCTTTGTTTAGTCATTCTTACCTTTGTGCGCAGTTTTTGTGTCGCCTAGACAAAGGTGAAACTAAGGGTGGTTGTTTCTGATCACGGCAGATGTAGTCAAAATTGTTTTAGTTTGTGATAAGGTCAGTTTAAGGAGAATCATTAGTGGTAGTTCAAAGACATTTTGGTATTTACTTGTATTAGCATTGGAGATAATTTGCTATATCGGGCCAAAATTTTCCTGTTGCCCAAAAATAACAAATATAGTAGATAGGTAATTAAGGATTACCATTCATTTGTATTTAATTTGTTGTTTCAATGTATGCAACTGATTACAGGAGTTATTTTTCTACCTTTATGGATGACAGCAAGAGATTGCTTGGACGTCTGACAGCCTTTTTAGAACTGCTGGTGCAGTTATCACAGCAAGTCCTAAAAAAAAAGGTTATCAGACATCCAAGCAATCTGGACAGTCTTCACAAGACAATTTTGTGTTTTGGGAAAGTCTTGTTTTTGTCGAGCATGCGACTTTTGTCGCAGAAAGCTCGACATAGGGATAGTGATCCTGCGGCGGCTCCGGCGGCAGTGTTAGCTAACTTCTTAAAAACTTTATATTTTAGAAGCTATAGACCTGGATGCTTCATACTTTGTAAATAGATGCCTTATGATATGAAGTTTCCGTCTGTCATATGTCCATTGTCCTTGACCTCATTTTCATGGTTCAGTGACTTACTTGAAAAAAAAGTCAACATTTTTTGTAATGTTTATTTCTTTCTTATTATGAGTAATAGGATAACTATATTTAGTATGTGCGTACCTTGCAAGGTCCTCATGCCCGTCAGACAATTTTCATTCGACCTCAACCTCATTTCATAGATCAGTGAACAAGGTTAAGTTTTCGTGGTCAAGTCCATATATCAGATACTATAAGCAGTAGGTCTACTATATTTAGTATATGGAATGATTGTAAGGTGTACATGTCCAACTTGTAGGTGTCATCTGACCTTGACCTCATTTTCATGGTTCAGTGGTCAAAGTTAAGTTTTTGAGTTTTGGTCTTTTTTTCTAATACTATATGCAATAGGTCAACTATATTTGGTGTGTGGAAATATTTTATGATGTACATGTCAGTCTCGCAGGTTTTATTTGACCTTGACCTCATTTTCACAGTTCATTTCTCAGTGTTAAGTTTTTGTGTTTTGGTCTGGTTTTTTTTCAACTATAAGCAATAGATCAACTATATTTGTTGTATGGAAGGATTGTAAGGTGTATATGTCTGTCTGGCAGGTATCATCTGACCTTGACCTCATTATCATGGTTCATTGGTCAATGTTAAGTTTTCATGGTTAAGTTTGTTTCTTAGATACTATAAGCAATAGGTCAACTATATTTAATGCATACATTGATTGTAAGGTGAACATGTCTCTCTGGCAAGGTTCATCTGACCTTGACCTCATTTTCATGGTTCATTGGTCAATGTTAAGTTTTCTTGGTTAAGGCTGTTTCTTAGAAACTTTAAGCAATAGGTCAACTATGTTTGGTTTATTGAATGATTGTAAGGTGTACATGTATTTCTCGTTTGGTTTATCTGACCTTGATCTCATTTTCTTGGATCATGTTAAGTTTATGTGTTACTTGTAGTAAAGCTTTATATTTAGGACTATCAACATAAAATGAATGGTTAGTAAAGAAGGCGAGACATTTCAGCGTGTGCACTCTTGTTCATTGAAAATAGATCTTACTGTGAAAAATCATATTTCACTCCTGAGATAATATTACAACTGACATTACTGGTGCAGTCGATTTTAAAACAGAAGTGTGTCCCAAAACTGGAAATGAATGTTCTCAGACAGGGTTCACCTGATTTCGACCTCATTTTATTGTTGAGCCTGCGACTTTTGTCGCAGAAAGCTCGACATAGGGATAGTGATCTGGCGGCGGCGGCGGCGTTAGCTAACTTCTTAAAAGCTTTATATTTTAGAAGGTGGAAGACCTGGATGCTTCATACTTTGTATATGGATGCCTCATGTTACGAAGTTTCCATCAGTCACATGTCCAATGTCCTTGACCTCATTTTCATGGTTCAGTGACTACTTGAAAAAAAAGTTACCATTTTTTGTAATGTTAAATTCTCTCTTATTATAAGTAGTAGGATAACTATATTTGGTATGTGCATACCTTGCATGGTCCTCATGCATGTCAGACAGTTTTCACTTGACCTTGACCTCATTTCATGGATTAGTGAACAAGGTTAAGTTTTGGTGGTCAAGTCCATATCTCAGATACTATAAGCAATAGGTCAAGTATATTTGGTATATGGAAGGACTGTAAGGTGTACATGTCCAACTGGCAGGTGTCATCTGACCTTGACCTCATTTTCATGGTTCAGTGGTTATAGTTAAGTTTTTGTGTTTTGGTCTGTTTTTTGTCGAGCCTGCGACTTTTGTCGCAGAAAGCTCGACATAGGGATAGTGATCTGGCGGCGGCGGCGGCGTTAACTAACTTCTAAAAAGCTGTATATTTTAGAAGCTAAAAGACCTGGATGCTTCATACTTTGTATATAGATGCCTTATGTTACGAAGTTTCCGTCTGTCATATGTCCAATGTCCTTGACCTCATTTTCATGGTTCAGTGACTACTTGAAAAAAAGTCAACATTTTTTGTAATGTTAATTTCTTTCTTATTATGAGTAATAGGATAACTATATTTAGTATGTGCGTACCTTGCAAGGTCCTCATGCATGTCAGACAATTTACATTTGACCTCGACCTCATTTCATGGATCAGTGAACAAGGTTAAGTTTTCGTGGTCAAGTCCATATATCAGATACTATAAGCAGTAGGTCTACTATATTTGGTATATGGAATGATTGTAAGGTGTACATGTCCAACTGGTAGGTGTCATCTGACCTTGACCTCATTTTCATGGTTCAGTGGTCAAAGTTAAGTTTTTGAGTTGTGGTCTTTTTTTCTAATACTATATGCAATAGGTCAACTATAAATGGTGTATGGAAAAATTTTATGATGTACATGTCAGTCTCACAGGTTTTATTTGACCTTGACCTCATTTTCACGGTTCGTTTCTCAGTGTTTAGTTTTTGTGTTTTGGTCTGTTTTTCTTCATCTATAAGCAATAGATCAACTATATTTGATGTCTGGCAGGTATCATCTGACCTTGACCTCATTTTCATGGTTCATTGGTCAATGTTAAGTTTTCATGGTTAAGTTTGTTTCTTCAATACTATAAGCAATAGGTCAACTATATTTAATGCCTAAATTGATTGTAAGGTGTACATGTCTGTCTGGCATGGTTCATCTGACCTTGACCTCATTTTCATGGTTCATTGGTCAATGTTAAGTTTTCTTGTTTAAGACTGTTTCTTAGAAACAATAAGCAATAGGTCAACTATGTTTGGTTTATTGAATGATTGTAAGGTGTACATGTATTTCTCCTTTGGTTTATCTGACCTTGACCTCATTTTCTTGGATCATGTTAAGTTTATGTGTTACTTGTAGTAAAGCTTTGTATTTAGGACTATCAACATAAAATCAATGGTTAGTAAAGAAGGCAAGACATTTCAGCGTGTGCACTCTTGTCTTATACTTTATGCAATAGGTCAACTATATTTGGTGTATTGAATGATTGTAAGGTGTACATGTCTAGCTGGCTGGTGTCATTTGACCTTAACCTCATTTTCATGGTTCAGTGGTCAAAGTTAAGATTTTGAGTTTTGGTCTTTTTTTCTAATACTATATGCAATAGGTCAACTATATTCGGTGTATGGAAATATTTTATGATCTATATGTCAGTCGCACAGGTTTTATTTGACCTTGACCTCATTTTCACAGTTCATTGCTCAGTGTTAAGTTTTTGTGTTTTGGTCTGTTTTTCTTAAACTATAAGCAATAGGTCAACTATATTTGTTGTATGGAAGAATTGTTAGCTGTACATGCCTGCTTGGCATGGTTCATCTGACCTTGACCTTATTTTCATGGTTCATTGGTCAATGTTTAGTTTTCTTGGTTAATGTTAAGTTTATGTGACAGTTGTAATAAAGCTTTATATAAGGACTATCAACATAATATCAGTGATTAGTAAAGAAGGCGAGACATTTCAGTGTGTGCACTCTTGTGAATCAGTAATCAAGGTTAAGTTTTCCTGGTCAAGTCAGTATTTTAGAATTTAGATACCGGTACTTTCAGCAATAGGTCATCTATATTTGGTGTGTGGACTGATTGTAAGGTGTACAGACCCTGAACATGTTTGACTGGCAGGTTTCATCTTAACTTACTTCATTGTCATGGTTTATTGGTCAATGTTGTGTTTTTGTGGTTTGGTCTGTTTCATAGATACAAGCAATAGTGACAGTTTTCATCTGACTTTGACCTTGTTTTCATGGTTCAATGGACAATGTTAAGTTTTTCCTGTTTGGGCCATAACTCCACTATAAGCCTTATGACCACTTTGGTGTATGGAAGGATTGTTAGGTGTACGTCTGTCGGGTTTCATCTAACCTTGATTTCATTTTCATGGTTCATTGATCAATGTTAAGTTTTCATGGTTTTGTCCATTTATGATTAACTATATTTGGTGTTTGGAATGATTGTACAGTGTACATGTCTGTCTGTTAGGGTTCATCTGACCTTGACCTAATTTTCATGGTTCGTTAGTCAATTTTAAGTTTTCATGTTTATCTCTGTTTCTTAGATACTATAAGCATATTTGGTGTACAGAATGATTGCATGGTGTACAGGTTGTCTGTCAGGGTTGATCTGATCTTGACCTCATTCTAATGGTTCATTAGTCAATAATCAATTTTGGTAATTAGGTCTGTTTCTTAGATACTATTAGCAATAGACTAACTTTATTTGGTGTATGGTATTAAATTTAATCATAAGCAGGCAAGACATTTCAGCTTGTGCACTTTTGTTAAACATATGTTCTTGATAGTGATACTCCTTGAAGCATTATTACTTGATAAAGTAATTAAGTCATTATGATGATTTGAAATTCTGACATCTAA